CTGTGGAAGGGAAGAAAGAATCTCTTGGAAGTGAGGCTGGGTTGGAAGGTATACAGGACGCCTCTTCAGGTCCTCAGGTGTCTGAGGAGTAAAAGCCATAGCAGGTGCCATCACGGAGGGGCCTCACCTTGGCAGATAGCTGGAAAACTCGTGTGAATGTACCCTCATTGCTTCATGACACCTGCAAGGCACCACGGCAGGATTGCACATTTCATAGAACAGAGGCTTTCAAGCAAAGCTCTGTCTACCATGCCCCAATTCCCCATTGATCTCTGTTCCATAATTTAACAGGTAGATATATATATTTTTTTTCTTTTTTTTTTTTCCCCTTTCAATACAGGAAAAACATTTCTGTCCCCTTTCTGAGGCTGGCTCCCCAGCAATTGTTCTCAAAGGAATATAAATCCCCTTAAAGAAGAAATATAGACTCTAGGGAACAAAGGGACAAGAAGAATAGATATGCGAGAGAAGAGATTTTCAGGAAAGAAAAATTTTATACCCACAGAGATGTGTAGTTAGGGAAAAAAAATCATATATGTGAATAAAATACCTCTAAATAGCATTTACTATAATGAAGTTCTACACATTGAAATGTAAGGAACTGAAGAAAAGCTGTATGTTAAGAGATCTTTGCCATAGTTCAGCTAAGTGTAGTCGTATGTAGAAATTATCCTGAGCAAGTCTGAACTTTATGCAGTTCTTGTAGCGATGTTTTCTCTGTAGTATTTTTACCTTCAGAAATGTCAGATCTTTCAGAAGGAACCAAGGCAGAGCCAGGGCTGTCCCAGCATGTGCATTAAAAGACACTTCCTGAAATTCTTGACTCAATATTGGCTAAATACACTGTATACACAATTCTTGTGAAATTCACTCATGTGCCATACACCACCTGAAAGGCTAACTTGTATCTTCCGGCAAGCTTTTCATGGGACTCCCTGCTCAGAAACTGATTTTTAACTGTCATTTAGAAGATGTGCTGGCCCCCATATTCAGCATATGTGGTATTTAAACATAGCTTGGGTATGAGGTCTGAAGATGATTTTGTGTTTCAAAGTTTCTTGTGTTGAATTTAAAATAAATCGTGCTTACTAATGTAAACAGCACATCTTGTTTCATAATTTATTGTTGTCAGGAGGTGGCAAATACTAGAGAGCATGACAAATAGTAGGAAATATGGCCAATATTGGAGAACAAAGTAAAAGTTATTTTTAATATGTGCAGTCAAGGTCCAAGTGACTATAATTCTTTCTTCTTTGCATATCAAACTCTTCCATCTTGTTGACTCTCACTTCTTTATACTCAATATTTTTCTCCTAGCCTGAGCACATGCATTTTCTCACACACCCTGTGCCACACTGCTCCAGGATGACTTCATGCAAGTAAATCCAACACTTTGGGATTTAGAGTAGGAATTCAGTGGGTGATTTCATCTGAATTGTCAATTATAATAAGCCTCCCTTGACAAAATAAAAATCAGAGTATTTCATCTATACAGTGATAAGCATTTATTTTTCAGTAGTGAAAGTGTCTTCGTAGACCTTGCTCTCCCACAAACATGAGTTTCTGGTTAAATTTTAATGGTTTTGCATGTTTGTGTTGCTATCGTTCTCCTCCTTTCCCTCTCCCCACTCTGCCAGTTTGGACTCTAGTAGACTGGCTAAGGACCCTGGGATTTGGACAATTACACTAATTGGTGAGTCTCCACGTGTTCTTTTTGCCTTATATATCCCACACTTGGAGCTGAAGAAGCCTGCAACATGGAAACTCCAACAGCTACAGGCTAAAAAATTCCAAGAGCCTGCCAGTCTGCTAGCCAGCCCTGTAGATTTCAAACTAAAGATTGTATCTTCCAGTCAAACCTGAATTGCCAGTCTGCCAGCCTGTCTTACAACTCTGGACCTCCCAGACCCTACAGGGCCTGAGCCAAATTCTAAGAACAATTTAGTGTGTGTGTGTGTGTGTGTGTGTGTGTGTTCCCACCCCCCACCCCCATCCCCTTCTGTTGTCTTTGGGTTCTCTTTCTCTGGAGAACCCTAATACGTCCAGTGTCTTGGTGAATTTGGACTGCTATTACAAATTATCATACACCACATGGCTTAAATAACAAATATTTATCGCTCATGGTTCTGGAAGTTGAAGTCTGAGATCAGGGTTCTCAGCAAGTTTGGGTTCTTGGTGACTGACTCCTTCCTGGGTTATGAAGGACCCTCTTGCTATGTCCTCACATGAAGAAAGAGGGAGAACTAGCTTTGGCCTTTTAATAGGGCACTAAGCCCATTCATGAGGGCTCTCAAGGCCTCCTTACCTCTCAAAGGCCACAATTCCAAATGCCATTACATTAGTAATTGGATTTTAACAAATGAATATTGAGCATACACCAACGTTCAGCCTATAACCTTCAGAATAGTCCCTAAGGGGCACAATTGTCCTTGGGATAATAATAGCAGTAATAGCTAACATACATGGAGTACTTATTTTAAGAAGACTATTATTGTACCTTGAACTTTACGTGTGAATCCTTTAGACTGTGAGGTCACTTTTATTATTTTAAATAAGAGGATAGTAAAGCCTAGAGAAGTTAACTAATTTTTCTAAGTAAAATATGTGGGGTGGGGGTGGAGAGAAGCAAGATTTGTCTGGTTCCAGAGACCTAGCTTTCAGCCACAACCTGTATACCTCTACAACTGTATATGTCAGGATTTTCTGTTTCCTAGTCACAAGACCTCCCATTAGATCCTGAAATATATTTTTAATTGAGTCAACTTGAGTCGATCTCTGTTGTTAAAATAATGTGATCTCGTGGTAAAAAAGAGTTCCTCCCAATAATGGTGTGGTTTCGTTTGGGTAGAGTTTTAGCTAACTTATAAAAAACTTCATTTTTGTGTTTTCCCAAAATGATATTTAATACGTGTTTTCTAATTGCCACAAGCCCTTCAGTATTGAGTAAAATATATCCTGTACAAAAGTATGCACTTTACAGAACATCTTTTTCTTTGAGGCATGATTCCTTTAATTCCCTAACATGAAAAACAAGTAACATATGTTAGATTTTTTTTTTTTTTTCTTTTTGCAGTGCTGGGGATTGAGCCCAGAGTCTCACACATGACAGAAGCTCTACCACTGAGCTTACATTGTGAGTCCTGGACTCAGTCTTCTTTTAGTGGTTAGTCTAGAGATTATAATATCCCGTCCTTAATTTACTACTGTCTAATTGAAGAATAGTGCTTATGTAACTTATGGACCAGCTTAAACCTAATCCACAACACACCATTTTCACCATGAAGTGGATTGCTGCCATCCAGTGTTATTGCTAGATGCTTGGGCTTGTTCTCAGTTCATGGTGAGTAGCTTTAGTTAGTTACTTGATTAATGGTCAGGCTCTCAGTACTAAGATGGATTCAGTAGAATGAATAGTCCTTTGCGGCAGATGGTGTGTCCTTGCTCAAGAACCCTTGGAGACTGTGTTGTGAGTTTCCTGTTGGAGCCTGCCAGGGACTCTGCGAACACCATGGATTAGCCCAGGTTATTGCATCTGTTACCTGTTGCTGTGTAACAAATTTCCCCCAAAGTTATCAGCTTGAAACATTACTAAACATTAGCTAATACAGTTTCTAAGACCAGAAATCCTGAATCAGCTTAACTGGGTAGATAGTTCTGGTATGGGCTTTCTTGGTTTGAGGGTACTGAAAAGCTTTCAGCCAAGGCTGCAGTCATCTGAAGGTTTCAGTGGGTATGGAGAATCTGTGTCCATGATTGTTGGCTGAGAGACTTGATCCTCATTGGCTTTTGGAAGAGAATCTCAGTTCCTTAGAATATGTACTTATCTGAAGGACTGCTTGGGTGTCATTATGGCACGGCAGCTGGATTCCCCCAAAGTAAGTGATTCTGGTGGAGCAGGTAAATGTGTCAATTCCTTCTATCACCTAATCTTGGACATGCACTCACTTTTGCCTTCATATCAGGCACCCTCATAAATATGGAAATCATTGCTTTTTCATTACCCTAGCTACAGTCTACTACCAGGAATCATACTCAAATTTTAGACTCTTTTCTGTGACACAATTCTTAGGTGTTCACAGCAGTAGAATCTTGGTGTCAAATTCACTACTCTAAAATTCACATCTCTTGCCTGTTTTGCCAGTCTTCTTTCTACAGTGTGTGTGTTTCCCAGTATGGACAGGATAGGGAGAAATACCAGTCTGCCTTTTATAAGGTTTTTTTTTTTTTTAGTTCATTAGTTGGGAAAAAACACCAATGAGTTCCCTCAAGTGTCTAATTTTGTCACTCAGCAGCAGGCAGTTGCTAAAAGCTTGTCTGGTTTCTTTTTTCCCTAGCAGCAGGCTTCCAGTTAGGCCCAGCCCAGATCATTATAGCCCATGTGTGAAACTGGCAAATGTCTCCAGAGGCAAGGAAAAAACCAGTACACTGGGTAAATAAATTGTGTAAAGTTATTTGACAATAGCGAGAATGATAGAACTATTGCTGCAAGCAACAAGGATGAATCTTACAAGGTCAAGGGAAAAAAACTAGACACAGACTATTCATCTGTTATAATTCCATTTATATGCCTCTCACAAAACTTATTATCTAGAAATCAGGAAAGTAATTACTTTGGAAGGTTGGGCAGTGACTGGTAACAGAAATGAGGGGCTTTTAGAGTGCTGGTAATGTTCTTTTTCTTTCTTTCTTTCTTTTTTTTTTTTTTTTGGTGGCCATGCTGGGGATTGAACCCAGGGTCTGGTGCATGCAAGACAAGCACTCTACCAACTAAGCTATATCCTCAGCCCCATGGTAATGTTCTATTTCTTAATCAAGGATGCCACACAGTCTTCATTTTTTGAAAATTCATTGAATTGAACCCTTATAATTTGTGTACCCTTCTATGTACATGTTTTATCGTAGCAAAATCTTTACATTAAAAAACCTAACTATAACAATTATTTTTCATTCTTAGTGTTTCTGTTTACATTAACTGTTTCAAGTCATATCAACTTAACATATAATATGCTAAGTTACAGGGAGGTTTAATACACAACTAAGTACCACTAGGATTCCTGGTAGTACCAGGGGTTATCTCAGGGTTAACTGAGCATTTGCTGGGGGTTATCTCAGTGTTACTGTGAGCAGCTGAGGAGGTTCTGGGCCTTTCTCTTCCAGGAATTTTTCCTCTCGCATTGGAACAGAGTCCCAGTTCAAAGTGGTCAGAGCCATCAGTGATCTCTTCATGGACCTTACAAAAACAGCATCTTCTAGGTTGTCAAACATAGTTCTGCAGGGGTGGCAATCAGGAAAAAAAAAAAAAATCAGTTTGATCCAAGTGAATTATTTTTTATTTAATAAGTGCCCTATATTTCTGTGGTATTTGCAGTATAGCATTACTAATAATTTGTCAACTCTGACAATGATTTTCAGGCTATGTGACACTATTTTTATTGCATATGTTTTATATAGAAAATAGAGTATTTGGGTATGTTTAGGGATCTAGAATTGTAGTTTGAGTCTCACACAGTTAAGTATTTGTGTTTGAAAACAGTGTTAGATGATTAAAATACTTTCAGAAATCATATGCATATTAGTATCGTAAATACATTTTATTACAGTTATTATTTTTCTTCACTGATGTATTTTAAAAATGTGCTCAATAATATTTTTCAACTACTGAATCCAAAGATTCATAAGTGCAAAAATAAAAAGAATGATTTTTAAATTCATCAATATTTATAAATTTGAAATACCTTCCACAGAATTAATGAAGTGTTTGCTTTTTAAAATGTAAATTACAGTGAATGTAAAATGTTAATTTACAGGATAATTACTCTCATTGAACCTATTTACATGAAGAGTAAACAAAGCCGCTCATTTGGAATAGCTTATAATTTTCAGGTTATATTTTCTAATACATCAAATCACTTTTTCATTTATTTGGGGTTACAATAATTATATTAAAAACCTAAATATGACAAACATGAATACATAACTAGAACTCATCACAAAAAGCCATAGTCATTTTCACATTTATTGAAGAGCTAGTCATTTTTTAATTCATTAAAATTTATTTTAGGAACTAGAGCGAATTTAGGAAAATAATTGTGAAACAATCTGATCATAAAAGAGTTTTTAAAAAACTTACTTGTCTACATTATCCGCAAATGTAAAATCTGAAACAAAAAGTTCTAAATTAGTATTTTTCAAATGTTTAATAGCATTGAAAAACAAAGAAGCATGCTCTAAATAAACTATTAGCTCTCTGTTTTCAAATAATCTATCAAAATTGCCTTGATACCTAACCTAAAATGGAAATTTTCTTAGATATGATGGGTTTTCCCATAGTTTGGGGCCAGAGTCTTTAATACAATAAAATTCTCAAAATCCTGAGAATAGAACACTTCATCATTTTAGTTAGTAATGGAATCCAAGTGGGAATTTTTATAATTAAGATTTTGAGTCTCATTGCCAAAGTAGATCCTTTTTCTTTTGACAGGCACATGCACCTGTAAATGGAGGAATAGTCCAAATGAGAATATTTAGAGCCATTTTACCTATTTAGGTTTTTGGCATTAACTTCAAAGAAAGAGAATAAACAAATCCTAGATCACAAGAGTCTCTATCTTTTCCAGCTTAGAGCTCAAGGACTAGTCCTCAAAGCCAGGAATCCTTAGGATGTCTTCCAGACTGCCCTTGCTTTGTTTATTCCTCTCCAGGAGGCCTAGTGCCAGGCTAAAGGCAGAATTTACCAGCACCTGTTGGGCCACTAAACCACAGTGTGAGCTCTTGCCAATCCATGAGCATCAGAGAGCACAGCCGCTGCCTTGGGAGATTCAGGGCACTACTCCTCTTCATGATGGCTGGCCAAGGTCGCCTGTGCCTTCCTATCTCTCAGTCTCTTTTCTCTTTCTATATTCTCCCCACCTTCCAGTGTTATTGCGGTATAATAAAAAAAACTCAAGAATTGGAACATTTAGGATGCCAACTAGATATTTTGTTATACATTGCAAAATAAGCTAATTAACATATCCATCACTTCACGAAATTACCATTTTCTTTTTCTAGGGTGTGTGTGGGTGGTGATGAGAACATTTAAGATCTACCCTCTTAGCAGATTTTAAGTATATAATACTGTAAATAGTCACTTTACATTCAATCTTCAGAATTTAGTCATCCTCCATAATTGAAACTTTGCCCCCTTTGACCACCACCTCCCCATCTCTCCCTCTCCCTAGTCCCTAGCAACCATCATTCTACTCTTCTCTGCTCTATGAGTTTGAACATTTAGATTTCATAGATGAGATAATCTGCAGTATTTTTTTTTTCTGTGTCTGGCTTATTTCACTTGATGCCTCCAGGTTTGTCCATATTGCTATAAATGACAGGGTCTCCCTAATTACAAAGAGCAAACACATCTCCTATAATTAGATAAATAATTATAAACAATATGAATATTAATAAATATATCTTAATTTATATAAATTATAAACAAAAAGGAACACTGGGGAAAAAGTAAAATCTCCCTTTTACCTTTCTGATTCTTTTTTTTTTGGGGGGGGGCGGGCATGGCATTGAACCCAGGAGCATTGAATCATTGAGCCATATCCCCAGCCCTTTTAGATATTTTATTTAGAGAAAGGGTCTCGATAAGTTTCTTAAGTCCTTGTTAATTTGATTTGCTTCTGGCTGGCTTTGAACCTGGAATCCTCCTATCTCGGCCTCCAGAGCCTCTGGGATTACAGGTATGCACCATTGCGCCCAGCCACCTTTCCAATTCTTATCAGAAGTAACACAGTTAGCCGGGTGTAGTGGTGCATACCTATAATCCCAGCGGCTCTGGAGGCTAAACCACAAGGATCTCAGGTTCAAAGCCAGCCTCAGCAATTTAACAAGGAGACCTTTTCTCTAAATAAAATATATAAATGGGCTGAGGATGTGGCTCAATAGTTGAGTGCCCCTGGGTTCAGCCCCCAGTACCAAAAAAAAAAAAAAAGAAGTAACACTGTTAAGCACTGGGTTTTGGGATTCCCTAGCTCGATGGTAGACATATATAGCATGTACAAGGCTCTGGGTTTAATCCTTAGCACCAAAAAAGAAAGAAAAAACCAAAAAGTATTATTGAGTTTTTTGGGTATACTTCCAGCCTGTGTGTATACTCACATATACACATATACACAGATTTATTTGTTGGCAAAATTTAATTTTTTTTATTACTCTGCAATGTTTTTAAATTTTATTATATTACTCTGCAATATGTTTTTAAACACCTCAAATATATTCATAGAATAATTCTATAGTGGAATTGTTTGTAATACATGAATGTGCCATAGTTTAGTATTCCCCTATAAATGACCATTTAGTGGTCTCTACTATATTTGGTATTACAAAAAATGTTGCAGTAATCAATCTTAGACATACTTATATATTTTTGTTCATGTGCGTTGGGAATTTAGTAGGGGAGATTTTCAAATCAATTGCTGTGTTAAATGGTTTGCACATTTTATATGTTGATAGATAATGCTATGTCGTCATCCAAGAAAGTTCAATCAGTTTGTATCTTCCTCAATAATATGAATTGTATGCTCTTTCTCCTTTTGTTTTTATAGTCTAAAGATTTTGCCAACTTGTTGGATAAAGATATGTTTTGATTTACATTAATTTGGTCATTAGTGAGGTTGAGCAGTATATACATTTCTTTCTGTTAAAAACTTGTCCATGTTTTTAGTCACTTAACTACTGGAATTCTTCAAATTGACTTGTAAATTCTTTTAGAAATATAAGTATTAACGTTTGCCTGTTATGTGTTGCAAATACTTTTTCCAAATTTGTGTTTTAATTTTGTTCCCTTTCTGTCTCAGTTTTCATTTTTATGTAGTTAAACCTGTCAACATTTCTCTTTTATGACTTCTGGGTTTGGTGTGAGACTGTGTTTATCTCTCAGAATTATTAGAGTTATTTGCTTCTAGTACTCTTCAATTTTACTTACATTTTAGATATTTAATCTTTTTAGGATCTATTTTTGTGCATAATATCTCCCTTAGAAAGTCATCTAGTTTATCTCTTGGCCCAGGCCTGTACAGGGCAGAACTCCAGAGGACCCCAGTCATCCTTTCCTATGTAATTGGTGCCCACCAGAGTTGTGGAATGTGGTAGCTCCGCTACTGCTGATACTGTCTTCACAAGTTCTGACTGCATAACTCTTGCAATTGCACAGTTCCTGTGCTAACCAGTCTCCAGGCCTCACTTTGACCTCAAGAACCTATCTTAGACTTCGGGCATAAATAACACCTGGCATTCACTTTTCTGGGTAAACCTGGTGTCATCATTACCCAGAGTCAGAGTTTTCTTCAAGACTAGACTTCCTGAGCTTTTGATTCCCCAGCTCCTCACTTAAATTGTGTTTTCTCTGAATGCTCTCCTGTCTTGTGTCTGTATTGACCAACTCCGTGGTGAATTGCCATTTGTGGAATAGTCTGGCTGATTTTCCTCCTCTGTCTCTTGCTGAATAGTAGGATAGCTTAGCACTCAGGCCCAGGCTCTGTCATAGTATACCTCAGCCTGGTCTCTATACCTAGAACTTTATCTTGTTTGGAGAGAAGAGCAAATATAGTAGAAATCCAGCAGGCTCACTTTTTGAGTCATTAGTAGATATTTTAAAGATGTATTGATATTTTACTATAGATATCCCTTAATGTTTTTCCATAATTGCGTAGTTGCAGGGAAATCAGCAAATGTCTCATTTTCCACATGTAAAAGGACAAAGTGTTTTGGTTCTGAGAATATTGCTTCTCATGTAATAAGACACAAAAACATTAATGGAAAATAGGTACAAGCCTTTAAACCTATACCCATCAGATAAGGATTGATGGCTGAGATTTGAAGAAAACTTAAAATTGACCTTGCTTCCCAAGCTGTTTCAAATGTAATTGGTTTCTTTCTCAATTTAAGATTAAGGATAATAAAATGGAAATATGTTATTAACAATTGCCTCATAAACAATTTCAAGCATGGTTTCTTTGCAAGAAAAGAATATAGACCCCTAAATGTGCATGCCACAATAAGATAAAATTTATATCAAAACAAATTTCAAAGCTACAAAACTGTAAGCCATGAGTTTTGAAAACTTACATAGTGTGCTTTATTAGTTTCATTATAAATGTTTAGCTCACTAAAGTAAGCTAAAATAAGTCACATGAGCTAAAAATGCTTTTTAGTTGATCTGATGCAGTGTCATTTTTCTGGAGAATAAGTAGATTGATAGAGTCACACTACCAATTTTTAGATGCCTATTGTCAAAATATCTATGAATTAAGAATATGAATTTAGAAGAAAAAGTTTCAAATGCAATAAAATACTCTATCCTTTTTTCCTCTGGTTTTGATTTGGAGGTAATGAAAAACAGTAAAAAGGATCATCGTTTTTTAGCAATCTGTTTGTATAAATACAGTGTACAGCACCAAAGGTACAGATCAGTTCTCCTCTCATACCTATGATAATTATAGCACTGAAACTAGACTGGAGCAGCCTGTGTTTGCTGTTCTAGTGTGTATCAGCTTATTTTAAGAGGGGATTTTGTCTCTCATAGATTCCTTTCCCACCACAGCATAACTTGCTCCCATTGCATCCAATAATATTTAGTTTGGGCCATCACTTCTCACAAGAAGCGAAAGAAAACCAAGGAAGTGACTAAGAACAGTCAACTTCTGGTACATTTGGTTGTCAGATCCAATGTTAAAATGTTTTACATATTAAGCATCCTAACAGTCAAAGGAAGATAAAAATCTTTGTTTTAAAATTCAGAAAGTTGAAGCAAATTTATGTCCCAAACAAATCTTGCCATGATCAGCAGAGCAGGTATGTGAACCCAGGAATTCTGATTCCACGGTTTGGCCTCTTAACTTTGCAATGGTGGTTGTGTGCCAGAAGCCATCCATGAATTTTTTGTGCATGAACTAAAAAACGACATGGAAGCCACTAAACAGGAAAGTCTGGTATCTGGGAACTCCAAGCAGCAATCCTGCTGGTTTGAGACTGCCCAATACATGCGACTTCCTACCTAGCTCTAAGTTCAGCACAGAACTGGAGATGGGGTGACCCACTGGAACCACACAGCCTCTCGGAGATGGGTATGGCTTGCCAAGATGCCAATCAACCTGTTTGTTGCAATACCCCTGCCACACCAAGAAGCAAGCCTCCTCCTGCTGAAACCTTATCCCTGCCTTTGATGTATTCTCCTTTCAAAAAGAAATAAAGCCATTTTTTGGTTGTTCAGTTCCAGCTCCCATGTAGACTGGTGGACCTATTAGCTGTTCCACTTCCTTTAAATCTAATTTCTGGCTCTGACTCTTATTCTATACTAATTATTTCAGACTTTCTTTTTCTCAAGTGGTTCACATCTTCTGAGCAGGAAACTACCCTGGCAGGGTGCTGGTCGCCCTCCATGCCAGGTTGTCTAACTTGAATGGGCATCAGAATCACTGGGAAAGCTACTTAAAACACAGTGTGGGGTGGGGAGTGCTTGAGTTTCCAAGTTGGTAAATTAGGCAAGAATTTGAATCACAAGTTCCTAAGTGATGCTGATAATGGTAATTTGGGGACCACACCCCAAGGCCCACCCCTGCTGTACATGTTACTCTCTTGCACCCATTAAGACTCCTGCAGACATCACTTCCAGTCTGTGGGAAATATAAGGGTTAAAGGAACAAGTTTAAGGACATCCGAAGGAAGCAATCATCAAAAGTGACACATTCTGTAATATAATTTCTAGGTTATGGGAAAAAAATTGACGAATCTATTCTAAATTTAGAGTAAAGACTCATACAACCAAAGGTAATTATGAATCTTGACTGAATTCTGGTTTGAAAAAAGCAGCTGCAAAAGGCTTCTTGGGACAATTTGGAAAATGGAGAAACTGATTCTATATTAAATAATTGGTTATTTTTCTTATGTCTGATAGTGGCATTGTAGTTACGTAGGGGGATGCCCTTATTTTCCAACTTGCAGGCCAAATTATTTAAGAGCGAAGTGTTGAGATTCTACTACTGAAACACTTAAGTGGGTCCACTGCATATTGATGTTTTCTAGCTGGGTATGAACAATAAGTGTAAATAGGAGCTTCTGAGGAGGCCTGTCCTTTCTTCCCTCTTTTTTGCCACACTGGGGATGAAGTGCTCTTCTACTGAGCTACATCCCAGGTCTGAGATCTGTTCTTTGAATAAAGAGGCAAACAAAGCCTCATATTTAGAGGCTGGTGAATATGGCAGAATATTAATAATTGTTGAATAAGCTTGGACATAGATAGACATTCATTTTAATATTCCTTCAACTTAGAAAATTTTACAGCAAAAGATTAAGAAAAAAAAAGTTTCATTTGACCCTCACTTCTCTTCCTTCCTTCCTTCCCCTAACTCCCTCTCTTTCTCCCTCATTTGCTCAGTGTTGAATTTATTTGATTTGTGGATTCTGTTGGCCATTACTTTCTCCCAGCATTTTAAGGAATTAATTCACTGTTTCTTGACTTCCATAATTGCAGTTGGGAAAAAAATCTGCATTTCTTCTCTGACTTCTTTACCTTTGGTGTAAACAGTTTTTTTTTTTTAATTTTGGTTATGTGTCTTTTATGTGTGGATTTATTTTGTCATCCAAACCTAAGGATTCCTATAATTTATCATCTTTGGAGAATTCTTAGTCATTATCACTTCAAATATTACCATCTACTGAATTTCTCTCTATAATTTTTTTCTTTAGGAATTATTACTAAACTTTCATTGGATTTTCTCTTTTAAATATCTCCTTTTCTCAACATTAAATTTATATCTCCATCTCTCACTTTCTTCATAATTTCTTCAAAATTGTTTTCTAGTTTCATATTTTCCTTTTTGTTTCTGTAAAATCCAACTGGTTCTTTTTAAATAAAAATGTGCATTTGGCAAATGTCAAATGATGAAGAAAAAGGTTATATTTTTGCACCATTTTTCATCTCCTGTTTCGGAAGAAACAGGAATAAAGATGTGACGCATGATGGTATAGCAACTACCTTATAATCATAAAGCACACTGAGAAAAAAAAGATAGATGTATTCCTCAACATTGATGATATTATAGAACTTTACACTAACTCTGCATACCTATCTTTGTACTCTGCTATGTGAGAAAAATAAAACCCTATTTATTTGGATTTCAGTTACATCTAAGAAATTTCAACTAATGAAATGTCACTGATATATTTGTTATAGTTGCATATATAAAAACTTCATATGTGAGATAGCCAGAATATTAATAGTGCTTATTTCTGGGAGGCAAAATTGCAAATGATCTTTATTTTCTCTTAATATTTTTTAATATCACCAAAAAATGATGAATTTGTCTTGTGTTAGTGGTAATAATAATTTTCTGCTGTGGTAGATACTGGAGAAGAGACTTTAATGTATTATCTCATTTTATCACATTACTTCATTTAATTTAATATGTACGAATGATGGTGAAAATCATATTCACTCTAATTAGGCTAATAAAACTATAAAAATATAATGTTAGCAAGTAACTAGAAATTATTTCACTATGTAGGTACTTAGTTTATTTTTACTTATCATTATTATTATAATCAAGTTCTCCAACAATTAAGGAATTTAAATTTCATTCTTATCCCCCCCTCCCCCAATTACCTGAAGGTAGTCTCTGGACAGGTTTCTGCTTTAATGGTAATTTTGGGTTCCATGAGGTCTCTACTTTTCCTCCAAATGCAATTGATTGAATGATATGAGCCTTTTTATGGTTAAAAATAGTAATCATTGATCTTCTTTCTTTTTCTGTAACCTCTGATAAATGCAAAAACAATGTTATTGCACAGCATTAAAAATAGATATGGAGTGATTCAAAAGAGAATGGAACAGTTTCAAAAGCATTTAGGTGAACTATGTTATGTGGGAACATCTTGTCAAAATAGATTTGTAAAGTAGCTGTCATGGGTACTTCCATAATCTTACAAGCACTTGATACATGCCCCTCATATCACAAAGTGGAGCACAATCCTGCAGTCCACTGCACGATACAGACTTTCTGACACATCGTCATCGGATGACTGACAGCACATGTTGCCACCCTTCCTTCCCTCAAGGCTATCCAAAAGCAGAGATAGAACCAGGAAGTCCTGATAAATCCTCACAAATAGAAGTTACTAATAAATTATTTAAAATGTTCAAATCTGTATGTGTAGACAGGTAAGGAAGTAGGTAATATAGCACAAGGGGGTAAGATAGTTTTCAAAATATGTAATATGTTGTACAGTGATGTGGATTGTGTGTATGTGGCTTATATAAACCAAACATTCTAGTTTGTCTATAATGCATGAAGATATATTTATAAAGAAGTTAACATTGATTATATTAATTTTAATATACATGAACTTACAGAATTTCAAAAGAAAATGAATTTTAGAACTCAGGTCTTCAGAGTTCTATTCAACTCCCTCAGTTTTGGGGGGAGGGGAGTTGGGTGACTGGGATTGAACTCGGGGTCATTCAACCACTGAGCCACATCCCCAGCCCTATTTTGTATTTTTTATTTAGAGACAGGGTCTCACTGAATTGCTTAGTGCCTCGCTTTTGCTGAGGCTGACTTTGAACTTGCCATCTTCTTGCCTCAGCCTCCTGAGCAGCTGGGATTACAGGTGTACACCACCATGCCTGGCCGTTCCCTCACTGCTGAGATGGGAGACTAAGGAGCCCAACATAAATGATTTGGCATCCACCTCGTCAGTGTGAAACGCAGAACCAGGAGAACCTTTCTCATGCTCAGTTAGATGGCTCTTCCTATAGAGTGGAAAAGACATGAATTCCTAAACTAGGGCCAATTTCAGAGAGCAAGCATTTCAAAAATAAATAATTAAAAAGCTTTCATTTATAAAGAAAATTATCCAATGGTATTCTGTTACAAAAACACATTCAAAGGTATTCTGTATTTTTCAACCATTGAGTAGTAAGGCAGAGTTTCAAATATTTCTTTACAAAAGAGAGTTATCCTTACGATTTCGATCAAGCAGCTCCACTCCTGGAAGGTGGTAGATTATATATAAACGATATAGGTTATATTGGCACAAAGGGTTTTGGTATAGACCTACAATGGAAGAGTCCGAAATAAGACGTCAGATTTCAAAATGAGCTTTGTATGTCATTTTATAAAACATGAAAAATTGCAGCATTCATGTACAACATAAGGATACATATCAAGCCAGTGGCCTCATTAAGCCCTCTTTCATTTAGAGCAGCACTTGATTTTCCTATCTGTTATATTCATTCACTCAATAAATAATTACTGGGAACTACCATGTACTAGAAAATGTGCTAGGTGCTGGGGACATTTTATTGACTCAAATCTGCAACAGATCAGGAAAAATTTAAATGTCCATAAGGAAATTCCTAAAGGACAAACTAGGTATCAGCTCCATGAGAATCTTGAAACTGCTTTTGACTAAAATATCACTTGGGACTCTTCTGCTAAGTCTCAAAGGTCACCATAGGCCAGTGTGAGGATGGGCAGAGATATAGTGCACTGTTATAATAGATATTTCTCCCTCCACTTTACATCATTATGCATTGCTCAGAATATGTAAATGCTAGTAGCAGCTTTGGATCTTAGTTGGAGCAGCGGCCAGCAGATGTGGATGTTGCATCTTGTATACCTTTGGCCAGACACTGGGGCTCTGAGAGCCTCGTGTGCAGGTGTTCTGATACGTAATGAACCTGATTCTGCAATGCAGGGGCTGAAGGAGGGAAGCACATGGGTGCAGAAGAGCTCCTGGCTCTTCTGCCATCACATTCTTTTAGGAATCAACATGTAGATGCATTTTTAAAAATCTTCACCTAGAAGGGTTTTGTTTCCAAGTAAAGAATCTCGCCTATTTATCACTGGATAATATTAAACAAGATTATTTCAATACACTGTGCAATAAAGCATTTATAATTTCAAGTTGGGTATCGTTAGCTTTTTAAATTCTGCTTCCATGCAACACTAGAAAATATTTCCGGAAAATACATACAGTGAGGGAAACCACTAGATGGCAGTAGCAGAAAGAGCTCCAGCTGTTGCACAGATACATCAGTAACCGGGGCTCCCTCAATGTCCATGTTAAATTTAAGAATACTGCTGTAGATGATTCATAAAATATAACGAAGCTTAATAAAGGCATGATAATATAAGTATTCAAAACCCAGAGTAAACTGATTAACATAAAGAAGATTGGTTGGGGCCTGATTAAAAGATAGCAAAGTAGTTAGAAACTGAAAAAAAGAAAAAGAAAAATCTGGACGTATTTTCTGTAGGTAATAAAACATTCTGATATTTGTTGTATAAACACAAATTTCTCTGGCTAATAAAATCCTTATATATAGCTATTCCCAGTGGAAAACATGAGCTTTATAGGGACATAAAGCAGGCAATAGAAGACACCTGGTGCGTAACCAACAAAGTTATTTGTGAGGAAAGGCAGAAAAGAAAACACAGAAAGGAGCAACAAAGAAATTAAAAAGAAAGAAAATCTGTATGTACTGAAAGAAATGAGAAGAAAAATGAAATAAATTTTTCAAGATGTCTTAAATGACAAAAATGACGTGAATTTTATTCTTAAAAGAAATTTAAAGTGGGAACACATAATTGTAATTACAGGATAGGGAATAGAAGGGATGTATATTAAACCAGTAATAAGGACAGATTTTTAAAGCAATCCACAGGGATCATGCATTGTAGTTGGAGCCAGAGAAAGTAAAGAAAAGGACACCCTTCAAGGATATAAAAGCAAAGCACATTTGTTTTTAATGAGAATTTAGGAGGAAGAAAAAGTCACAAATGTTTTAGTGCAGAAGTCTGCCTTGTGGTTGCTGTCTTGGGGAATCACATCTGACACCTCATTACCCTGTGTTACATTGTAGCAGCTGGAAGCCAGGTCTGCCTCTGCACAAGATGCTAATGGAAAATGTACCAATATCTTCCAATGACCTTTACTCTTTTGGGGGGTGGGGGAGTTTTCCAGGGATTGAACTCAGGAGCACTCCACCACTGAGCCACATCCCCAGCCCTATTTTGTATTTTTGATTTAGAGACAGGGTCTCATTGAGTTGCTTAGCACCTCACTTTTACTGAGGCTGGCTTTGAACTTGCAATCCTCCTGCCTCAGCATCCCAAAGTCCTTTACTCTTGATACACCTTTCCAGTGCCTTTTTCCTCGAAGAACATAACCATTCACTGCTTTCCTTGCTTTTTCTCCTCATCTCTAGTTAAGTAACTTCTTTTTGCAAGTTTAAAGCCCTAGCTTCAGTTAAACGAAACTCCAAACTTGAGTTTACATTACTTTTTTTTGGGGGGGGGGCAAGGATTGAACTCAGGGCATTCAACCACTGAGCCACATCCCCAGCCCATTTTTGTATTTTATTTAGAGACAGGGTCTTGCTGAGTTGCTTAGCACCTCACCCTTCCTGAGGCTGGCTTTGAACTTGCCATCCTCCTGTCTCAGCCTCCAGAGCTGTTTAGATTACGTATTAACAAGGTGTCTGGATACTAAACACTCTTGTGCATGTTGTGGTTCACTATTCATCTCATCTTAAAGTAAAATCTAAGTGACAGGAAGTCAGAAAATTGAGCTCCTTGTGCAGCCTCTGCTCACATAACTTAAAAAAATAAATTGAGCTAAATAATTTGAGAGGCATTTCATCTTTATTATCCTTTACTTTTTCCTGGCTCTTCAATTTTAGAAGGAAGCATTTTCAACTCTTTTTCTCCCTTTTATACTATTAAACATTTAACATTTTGGATTTATGAGTTTTGGATGGATGCTACTAAAATTACCATAAATTATGTTTCCAAGATATGAAGTCAGTTTCCTGTGTCTGAATGTTCTGAAAGCCTTCTGTGATGTATGGGCACATTCCTTTAGAAACTATGAAGTAAAACTGCTTACACTTTCACTTTCAATAGGTTAATACCATTTAATCCACCTTCCCTCTAGGCTACTTATAGAGTACACCTCCGTGGCGCCAGCGCTGTCTTGCTTATCTTAATTTGGGATTCAGAGTCTAAGCAATTTACATTTTCCCAATAATATATCAAAAAGTCTCTAGCACCTTACTGCACAAGCTGGAGTTACATGACTCATGCGTAAAGCTGCTTCTTAATGAAACAGAAAATAAGAAGATTCAGCGATCTAAATAATTGGTTTCAGTGAATTTTTTAAACTTTGAAAACAGAATTTAACAAACCTATCATTTAAATGAATCCAAATGTTCTTAAGGTGCCTTTGGAGAAAATTGATGTAATTAGTAAAATGCTTTTTAATAGATGGGGAGGAAATGATACAGAGAGGTTTAAAAGCTTATGCATTACCTACAGTCTGTGGAAGGGAATTCAGCTGCCACCCATCAGACACCTAGATTTTGAGGTTCTGGAGGTAAGGTCACATCCATAGGTTAGCAACTTGATTGCTATCTAATTTTAACTTAAATCTGTGGGCCACCACACTACACATGCTTTCACTGAATATGGAAATCATCTTTGATTTTAAAAGGCAAACTGTGATAAAGCAGGAGATGAAGAAAGGGGAGAGATTAGAACATTCTCTTCAAGATAAACAGCTGTGAAAGACCCAGTTAGTTCTTTTCACTTGGTGGATTGTTTTGTGAAGTCCACTTTGATGAGCATTACAGGTAGAGGGGCTCAAATAAAGAATCCTTGGAGATCATAGTCATACCCTACCTCCCAGTATCTGTCTTCACCCTAGCTTTTTGTCATCAGCAGAGGATGGGTGTCACTGCTGTCAGCAAAGTTAGAGAATATATAAGAGCAGTATCTCTGGAAACATGGAGACCTTCTCTTAAAAGAGCAATCCTTCTTCCCAGTGGTCACTCCTGGAGTGACCAAGGAAGTATGTCCTAACAATTATGAAAGGTAGGAGTCTAAGGGTACTTTCCAACAATGAACTTAATAAACACAGAGAAAACTTTAGAGAAATGAGTAGAACAAAGGTATAGATAGAGAAGAAATGGTTTAAATGTTGTGTTGTTGGTAGTGTTTTTTCTAATGCTCAGAAAAAGGGCAGGAAGGCTGAAGGCAAATAATCATCATCATCTATAAAGTGGGTCTTTGGCACAAGCAAATTCTGATTTACAGTTTGGAGGAGGGAAGGGAAGAGGAAAATGGAACTGGGAGAGGAGGGTGTGGAAAGGTAGACCTCCTGGAGAGAAGAGGTGGGGCCCCTGTTTTGCCCGGAAGACAGGAATTCCAGTTACCAGGACCTCACACTCTGTGCTGGTTTCAGGCCTCCCTGAAGCTCCCAGCCATGCGTCTCCTGGGCAATCACTTGGCAGTTCTCCTCACATGCCAGGGGAGGGTGCAATGCTGAAGTGGATTAGAGGTTTACCCTCCAGGCTATTTTCTCACCCTCTGAAGAACTTGTAATTGAAGTGGAATAATAATAACACTTTAGATTTTTATATGGTTTTACAACTTGAAAAGACAAAAATTACAACAACATTGGAAAATACATGGTTTTCTCATTTTATTTAATGAGCTGAATCTAATCTCTGATTGCAAATGAGGCTCATAGAAACTTAATCTGAGGACATAACTGAACAAATAATGTTAGTTCCGTGAATGCAGACATTTTTTCCCTGTATTAAAACTTGAACCAAAAAGGGATATGGGATCAAAATGTTAGTATTCACTACCAAAAATTTTCAGAAAATGTTTTTTTTTTTTGTAATTAGACATAGCATTTTATCCACTTCAAAAAAAAAAAAAAAAGACTCCATGACAAGTTTCTCAGTTGAAACAACTGTAGTTATAACTTGAATCATATCACTACAATTTTAAGTAGAAGTCCCTTTAACTGTCATGACAAGTAATGATATGGATAGTATATTACTTGGCTGGTCTTCAAAAAATGATTAGGGCATTTCATCCCCACCCATGTCCCCATCCTGACAATTCTGTGCTCACACACACTCTTGACAAATAGGACATGGGCTAGATTTTCAGGGTTCACTTAGTTCTGGACCTGGCACCTTGATTTACAGCCTAACTCTGTTTACTGCTCTTGGGCCAACCTTGCTTACTACTCTATGAATGTTGATTTATACCATAAGTTTGCTTAAATTATTGAATTTTTACATGTAGCAAATTATATGCTCAAATAGTGTAGCATCAAACCCCTTCAACTGTCTAAGACATCTTTAGGCTATGAGTTATAAAAGTGTAAGTCCCATCAAGGTCCAGACTGGGTCTTTTGTACAACTTTGTGTTGTATAATCTAGTATAGTGTCATATAGTAAATGTGTCATAAATACTTATTGAAAGTGAATAAATTATGAATATTTATTGAATGAATGAATGTATAAATGATAAGTGAAACCAGGCATGAATTAAACTTCAATATTCCTTGGTACTCTGGCTAAATCTCGGAACCTTGCACTTTGATCATTGAAGAGAGAATAATTTTAATTATATCATAAGATTGCTGTAAAGGTTTAAATAAGAATATAAAAAAGCATTTTATCGGGTTGGGATTGTGGCTCAGGGATAGAGCGCTTGCCTAGCATGTATGAGGCACTGGGTTCAATTTTCAGCACCACATATAAATAAATGAATAAAATAAAGGTCCATCAACATCTAAAAAATTTTTTTAAGAAAAGCATTTTATCAACAGGTAAGACTCAAATATGCTATTCTAATGATTCTTATTTAAAATATTAGTCTTATTATACTGAGTTTAATTCCAACTTAGCAGAATTTCTAGACTACATGAGACTTCTTCATTTATTATATTGTTTACATAATATACAATAAAACAATTTTTACTTTTGTTGTTGCTTCAAAATAACATTAATGGCAGGAAGTGTTTTACAGAGTTATCTCAATGTTTGAAGCAATCCTGAGAGGTAGCTGTTAGCCCATTTTTATAGAAAAACGATGATAGGTAAGAGTTCCTGATCTAGTATAACTAGTCTTTTAATCATAGAAGCATTTGTTCAGCATAGAAGGGCAAAATAAATATGCAGGCCATTGGCAAATACAAGTCTCTCACAGAATCTCAGAAGGCTGTGAAAAACTCCCAACAGTAGGTGGCCTTATGTTTCCAAAACAATCCTGGAATCACCATGAGCTTGGTGTGATTTTGTGATTTTAATATTTGGATTTGAAGAATCTACCTGTAAGCACATGAATCATTTCTCCTCAGTACAGCTGACGTTACTGATAGAATGAAAATACTCGGAGACTTTCCTAACTATGTGTTGACCTCAGCAGAACCTTCTCCATCAACACTAGTTTACACATATTCAAAACACTGACACAGGCAATTCTCAAAAAATGAACAGGAAACAATAGAAGAAAACATCTATTTCATAACAAATGAAGCATAACATGTGAAGAGATCTTCAAATTCTAAAGTCTGAAAACCTACTCGTTGACCTGAGGGTCTTTACTGTGGGCCCTTGGACTCGCTTGTCCTATATTTCAGTTGTATACATTTCTATTTTTTTTAACCCCCCAAAACGTAAGTGTATTGAGAGTAGGAACTGCTTATGATTCATATTTTTAATCTATTTCCAGACAGACTTCTTCATTATTGAGGCCAATTCCTTATTGGATGTGATTCAGTAAATGTAAATGATGTTTGCTCATCACTCAGTTGAAAACTTAAAAGCTTACTCTTTTTCTTTGCTCTTTATTACTTTATTCATATACTTCACCTACAACACAATTAATCTATTTAAAATATACTATTCAGTCATTTTCAGTAGATTCCATGACTGGTACAACTTATCACTTTAGGCAATTTAGAATATTTTATTAACCCCAAAAGACCCCCCACAATGCACCCCTTACTCCTTAGCTATCATCATCCAATTCTCTCAGTTCCCCAGCCCCAAGTGAACACTAATTATTTAAAAACAGTTACTTCTCAGTATTGCTGTATTTAGAGATGTGTCTGTGTAGAATATCTCATGTCAAGAGAATCATATATGTTAAAACTTACTTTTGAGATAAAACCAAAAACAAATTTAAACATGTAAATCATCTTTTGTTATTTTTGCCATTTTTGTTTGACATGGTGTATTTTTTACATAGATAATTCTTTTCTACCTGTTTCTCTTTCAAAAGCATGCCTTGAAAAAGAAGAAAATATAGTCATCTAAGTATTTTAGTCAGAAGCAATCCTCCTCTAAGGAATTTTAAACTTCAAAAGTGGAAAAATGTCTTGGGCTATTGCCAATTTCATTTGTGACCATATAAAAGTACAAATTGTTACTTAGGGTCTTCAGGTTCAGCATTCCCTTTAATTCCTTCACTGTGTCATCAATTTTTGTTAACTCATTGTGATGCAGCAGGAGGATATGCAACGAAGGCAGATAGTGCAGGCCTAAAAAAAATGAACAAGATTTGCAGCATTTTTAAATTTATTATTTATTTTTAAATTGATAAATGAAAACAAACATTCAAGATGGCTAATTAGACATGCTAACTAAACAAAAGATATTATAGCTGGTAAAAGAGGAATGCCTATTAATGATATTATAAATCATTGTTAAACCTACAAACAAAGCAAATGAATTCAAATAGTTATTTGAATTGTGATGTAGAAATATCTTTCCACTACTACTGCTTTACTGGGTTTTCTGTTAACAGTGATTTTTGCTTGTTTGAATTTGGACAGGTAATTTGCTTTCTTCCCTTTGTTTTTGTAGGGTGTGTGTGGATGCATGTGCATGAATGTTACTTAGATTTATAATGCCAATCAAGGGAATAACTACTCATCCAATTCAATTTCTTCTTCCAAATTGAAAAGTACTTTTATACAATAGAAAAACCACATATCCGTATCATTTTTATTTTTCCTAAATTATACATTTTCCCACATTTTTAGACATAAATGTAAGTGAGTTAAGTGTGTATCATAGTCCCATCATGTTTAATTGACAACATTTTCTTTCTTAATGGTACATGAAATTATGGTATCAAAAATTTATGACACTTTGATTCCATCATTTATGGTATTAAAGAGAAGTGTTTTGTTCGGTACTTCTTCATATTTCATGATCATGGCACCTCATATACTTTTATATCTGTCTTGACATTGTTAGGTTAGAGATTGTTGCACTTATAAAATTAACTTGGAGTGGAAACAGGAATATAGCTGGTAAAAATCATATTCAGTAAAATCTTTTAAGACTATAATATTTTAATATTTATTAGTGCTCTCAAATATTGTTAAAATTTGTTTCCACAATATTTAGTTTGTGTCCAACTGTGCAGTAGAGTGGCAAGTTTCCTATGTTAAAAAGAGATTTTTTTAAAAGATCAAATAAGACACATGACAATACTAAGTTAGAAAAGCAATCTAACAGCACATTTCTTGAAATGTAATAAGAACATTTAAAAATAGACTGTCACATCTTTTTAAGAGAATTATTAAAACAAATCTTTGCACATCATTAATGGTTATCATAGTTGAAAATTATTACTTAATTGAAAACCTATTCAATCAAAGAAAATTTAAGACATACCTACTATCTCAAATATTGCATTGTTGTTTAGATATAGTTCGGTCAGACAGTGATTTCTAGTTAAAAATGCTATCCCATGGAGCTGAAAATAAAAGAAAATAATAGATTTTTCTATAATAATGGTAGATATGTATTCATAATCATAATAAGACAATAGAAATGCAGCCTTTGCAGCAATTATTAATTATCTGTGGCCTTTTGGACTAGGTTGTGAATTTTATCTGGATTGCCATTGAGGACCAAGTGATGGAAAGTATAATTTTAACTTAAAATTAACTTCTCTTTCCACACTTGATGAAATTCCATTGCCTGTCTTCATCAACCTCTGTAATCTGGCCTCATCCTTTTGCTCTGGCAATGTTTCCCTTACTTCTGCTCCATGTAGTTTCATGAGATTTGGCTTGATGCATCCATTAATTCACCATCTATTATTATTATAAGCCAAGTATTTTCTCTTCAGATAACGCTGCTGGTATTTCTACATCTGTAGGAGGCAGAATTTCCCTTTGCAGGCATGTCCTTGTTCCTGGAACATTTCTGATTATTTTTAAGGATCAGCACCAGCCCAGCAAGACATAGGAAACCCTACATGAGTGAGTTGTCACAGTACATTTTCACAACTTCAGAGATTTTCTAAAACCAACCTTTGGCCTCCTTGCTTGACTTTTTTTCTATTTTGACCCACATTTGTTCTTCTCTAAATTTGTACCTGCTCCAGCACTTTGAGTTGTAGCTCTTGAATAATAGTCCAATTCTGAACCCTCTTTGCCCTACTCTGAAAACCATCTTTTCTTCCCAGTCTCAATATCTTTCTAGTATGCAGATCTCTCAGTTTAGCTGAGAACTGTGTAATCTGAATGGACACAGGAGGCAACTCTGCCCATCAGGTCTGACGCTAACAACTTAGCCAGCCACTGGTCACAACTAGAGGACAAGGCACAACGTGATCCTGTTCTGTTACTTTGCAGCTCATCGTTTCTCACAAGGCCTCTCCTGACAAACACTGTGTTCACGAACCTCAATTTTCTTGACCACTTCAACATTTATTTGATTTGTACAATTAGTCACTCAATCACTAATGTTTTGTGTCTCCCTTAAGGAAAGGAATCATATTTCCCCAGTAGCTTATATTTTCCACTCCCTGCTCTCCAAACCATATGGTGAAGTTGCATTCTTATTTTTCAGATTTGATTTAAAATTCAGTGTGTATGAGTTAGAAATAAATGCTCTTTTGAAATAAGTACTCTCTTGAAAATTCCCCAAATGAACCAGGAAGTACTATATACATGATAGAAGATATTCAATGCTAAAATGTATTTCAGAAATCCTCTGTTAGCCTTCAAGAAGAACCCCATTTAAAAACATTGACTCTATAATCTTTATAAAATTTTCCTCATTTTGTTTGAATTAGATGAGACATGTCTCATCTATAGTCTTAGAGGAGGGCAGGTATATTCTAAGAGCAGCAGGTAAGTTAAGTATTATATCTTTGCTACTTAAAAAAGGATCTAAGGGAGAAGCTTCTCATGCAATAGTTATCATAATCAAATATTAAGTCCATATATATATATATATATATATATGATCTTGACCATATATTATTATTATTATTATTACCATAGACCTATTATTATTCAATGGAATTGTTTTATCATTTGAGGAGTAGATTGAGTTAAATAGATGTCAACCCATGTGACAGTGAGAATTTATTAGAAATTTTATTCATATCCTTCTCATATTTCAGAAAAACCATTTTGGGTTGTAACCAAAGTTTGAAAACTAGTTTCTTTGGTGAGTTTTCATTTCTTTTTATATTGGTAACGTGCACAAATTGTGATGCTATAAAAAGGTTTGTGTACCATTCATCTCATCACTTCCAGACTCAACACCACAAAATTATGTCAGCACTCATTCCGCAGAACCACCAATGATTTCACCACAGTTTTCAGTAAGGCATGAGAGGACCTGTGTTTCTCCAAGGCAGGGAAACTGTTCACATAAGGAGGGGAAGAGTCCCAGGAGGCCTCTAGGCCCGTTCAGCTTTTCCTACTTCCTTTCACCTCTCCCTGGCTCTAATCATCACCACACTTGACATCAACGTAGGAAAAGAACACCAGTGGAAATCATCACCTCTTTTTCTCTCCTTGATTATTCATCTGCTGACCACACATGAATGGAACATTGCTAGTTAGTTGAGACTAATTTCTCTTGCATTGCTCATTAGCACAGAACACTAACAAATGTGACTGTTTCATCTTGATTATAAAATTGTAGTTCTTCCATTGACATCCTTGGATCATGACCACTGGAATATTAAGATTCCACTCTTTGTTAATGTGAAGTGGGTGAGAGGAAGTAGAATGAGAAGAAACAAAGATCGTAAGGACCTTTGAGGGCTATTAAAATATTTGGTGCAGAAGAGTGGTATTGCTCATTTTCACTAAAGTGAAAAAATGGCAGGGTAGAAGGTAGGGAAGGCAGAATAGTAGCTACAATGGCAAGAGACAAAAAAAGGAAAGTGTTATTCTAATTTATGAAAGCTGATGGTGGCTGAAAGTAGAGTAATGACAGTAGAAAAAGAACAACTTAGAGGAAATTGAGAGATTGTTTTAAGGTAGAATTCACAGAAATTAATACATATGGAAATTTAGCAAATTCATTAGTCAGAGACAGGAATTAGAAGACATACTAATTGTCCTGATACTCAAGCTAGTATTAAATAAAATGTTATATGCTTATTCATTGAAAAAATATGATTCATTCTAAAGATTTCCAAAAAACTTTATATTTAATGTAACAGTTCATAAGTTATAATATCTTAATTCAAAGTTTGGCTGATGGCAAGTGCTCCCTAAATGATAGCTATTATTACTTATTTTTAACCATTACTATTATTTTTGTACAGGTACATACACTTGCATTTAATGTGAAGCACTTACAGGAAACCACTGAGGTGTACTACCAAAGAAAAATATATACCAGCAAGAATTGAAAATGAAGAAGGCATAGTTTAGAGCACAGTTCTCAACCTCTCCCACTTACAATACTCTGAACCACAAAATTCTTGGATTTGGGGACATGGGGCAGTCCTGAGCATTTCAACATGTTTAGCAGCATCTCTAGCCTCCACCCACTAGGTGCCAGTAGCACATACACTCCAGCTGTGATAATCCAAACTTTCTAGATAATATGAAACACCCCTTAGGAAAGGATCATATTATTTATTTTATGCTACTTACTCCATTCTCCAGTAAGTATTTACCTAGGAGGAAACTGAAGCTCAGAGAAGTTAAACAAATTTCTCAAGATCCATGGATCATAAGTAGGAGAACAAGGATGAAAATCCAAGTCTGACTTTCAAAGCATCAATTGGCATATTTTTCATCATAATTCGGCTTCTTTATTTGGGGTGAGGACTTTTATATAAGTCATCTATAAGTTATTAATTTGACATTAGATCAAGTACTAGGAAATATTTTATAAATAAATTTATTTCTAGTATTTCAGCAATAACCCCCAAACATATCTATATTGCACACAGAAACATTTGACCTGAAATGTAAAGAAAAAAAAAGAGAAATATAATAATCTTGGAGATATATATATATATATATATATATATACACTTAATCTTCACTATAAACACATGAGGTAGAGTACTATTTATATTTTACTTTAAGATGTTAAAACTAAGACATGGAAAGGCTAAATAACTTGCCCAAGATTATACAGTTAGTATTTGATGAACCTGGGGTTTGACTCAGGCTCTGGAGTCCCTGTTGGAAACCACTACAGTTGAGTAACACTAGGGTAGGAAGCTGAGCTATCCAGATCAGTTCATTCTAGACTTAATTTGAGCCACTGGCTGGACTGGCTACATCTACCTGATGCATATCTTAACCTCTCAAATTGTATGGATTCTTTTCAACATTTTTTCTAAACTGGTCACCCAACTTCAGCATAGCTTTGGGTCCTAAGTACTCTTCTATTCTTTCCCCACTCCACAAGAGAGGTTCTTATTTTTTTTTCCCAGCAAACCTAGATAGATGACTATGGTTACCAATAAATCCAAACTAAAAGAACTACCCAAAAATAGTGCTAAGCAACCTCAGATACAAGTAAGGATACTTACTCTTGGCTTTTATTCAAACTTTCCTTTTAGCATTTCTTTTTTCTCTTGATATTGTCTTTACCTTGACCCTTGTTATTACTTTTTCCTTCTTATTTTATTACCTTACAACATCCCATTTCTTCTAGAGGCAAAATACTATATAATTCATAAAGATTAAGATATTAGGTATCTCAGGGTATTTTTTTTGAAATTAAAGGATTATGATCAATGATTGACTTTACCTAAGAAAACTTTTAAATATCACTCAATTTATGCTCTAAAACAACTTCCTAAGATACCAGCTTGTAAAATCAGCTTCAGGGGCTATGTTCATGAAAATAAAGTAGTATCATGGATAAGAAAAATGGCTTCAAAAAGTTTATGCTATTGTGAAACAAGACCACAGATCTTAGATTTTTGAGAGAATCTCAAAATTGTACATATGATAAAAACTCTTAAAATATGCAAGGAATGCATCTCAACACAATAAAAATAGGATAAACCTGTAGCTAATATAATTCCCAGTGCCAAAAACTAGAGCTTTTCCTCTAAGATCGGGATCAAGACAAGAATACTCAATCTTGCCACTTCTTTGCCAGAAGATGCTAACAAAAGTTCTGCCAGTGTAATTAGACAAGAAAAAGAAAGAAAAGGCATTCTAAAAGAAAATGAAGGAATGAAATTTGTCTCTACATGCTAACAGAGAAAAATCTGAAGATTACATACATGTGCACAACTTGCTTAAAACAGATAAATGAATTTTGTAAAGTTCTAGGATACAATATCAGCATACAAAAATTAGTTTAATTTTTACATACTAGTAATCATCTATCCAAAAATAAAATTAGGAAAAGAATTCTATTTATAATAGTAATAATAACCCAAATTACTTAGGTATAAATTTATCCAAAGAGGTAAAAGAACTATATATTGAAAATTAAAAAAACACTGATAAAGATATTGAAAAAAAA